CTACCGGTATCTGCTGCGCTGCTGCCAGCAGCTGCCGACCAAGGGCATCCAAGAGCATTACAGACATGCCGTGAGGCAGGTGGGAGCAGGGCACAATGAGCCGGGGGCGGGGGGGGGCTTCCTCTCTCTGAGAGCCAGGAGCTGGTGCAGGGGTGGCCTTTCAGGTGGTGGGGTGGGAGCAGTTTGTAAGAACCACAGGAGTCCAACGCTGATGGGTCCAGATCCTTTTTCCGTGTTATGTCCAGGCATCGGAGGATGCACCATCCGCACACACCTCTGCCAGGGCTCAAATAAAGCAGCTAAGTGGATAGTCAAATACAGCATGGACCACAACATGACCCTCTCAGGCATTCCTGCCAACAACACACAATCTCAATTTAACGAGAAAACATTGGGCAAGCCCAAACGGAGGGACCATCTACCTCATCACTGGGCCTGTACTCCTCAAAAATGCCAGTGTCAGGAAACAGAAAGACAGAGGAAATGCTCTGGATGAAAGAGGGCTAAAGAGACATGCTGGGGCCGTGATGGTTCAGTGGTGCAGCCCTCACCTGGCGTGCAGGAAACCCAGGTGCGAGTCTTGGCCAGTGCAGCCACCACCTGTCTGTCAGCGGATCCCACGCTGCTGCGATGCGGAAAAGGTTTCAGTGGCGCTTCCAGACTAAAACAACTAAGAAGAAAGGCCTGGCAATCCACTTTCCGAAATCGCCCTGTAGATGACTGCAGTCTGATCTGTAACTGATCAGTGACGGCACAGGACCAGGCAGTGTTCTGTTCTTTTGTACATGGGGTTGTCATGAGTCCAGAGGTAATGCGGCAGCAGCTAACAGTGACAAAGACACATGACAGCTAAATGCAATGGGGGATCTCAGATTAAATCCTGGCCCAGGAAAAAAAAATGCCGTTAAGGACATTATTCAGGCAATTCATGAAATTAGAATATGGACTGTGCATTAGGTAGTGGTACTGCATCAATGTTAAATTTTCTGAATTTGATTACTGTGGTTACATAAGAGAATTCCCCTGTTCAGAATTGCACCTTGAAGCTTAGGGGTTGAGGACATGATGTCTACAACTTACTCTTAAATGCTTTTGAAAGAAAACTATGCTCACATACAAGAGAAAATGATGAAGAAGTAAATGTGGCAGATGTTAACAGTTGTTGATGCTGGGAGAGAGTTCTCTGTGTTATTCTTGTAACTTTCACAAGTTATTCTTGTAACTTTTCTGTAAGTTAGACATTATTTCCAAATAAAAAGTTTAAAACTGAAAGTAATGCAAATATGAGTGTGGACAGTAAAAAAGATAAATTGTTCTGGTTATCTAGTGCCACTCTGACAGGAAGCATACCACAGATGGGATGGCCTTAACAAACAGGAGTTTGTTCTCTTATTGGTTGGAGGCTTTAAGTCCAAGTTCAAAGTGCCAGGCTTCAGGGGCTTGGGGTCCAGCTCTGCCTCCTGCTCCCAGCGTACTGGAGCTAGAGGCATTTCTTCACTCAGACAGCTGCTGGCTACTGAGGCTGAGAAGCCCAAGGTTGACAAATAAAAATGTTACCAAACCACATGGCAGGTCATTAATTCCAGTCCATTGTAAGTCCCCAGGTCGGCAGAGCCTGGCAGGCTGCTAAACAATGACGTGGCTACACGCAGGGTCCAAGTGTGCCATGTGCTAGAGACCATTCCCAAAACTACTACTTACGTATGGGAAGCAGATCACATACCCAAAGCAGCTACTCAGCTGCTTGTGGTAGATCCCACCGTGGAGGTAATTGCCAGTCTCTTCATGGGAAATAACTACCACCAGCTGCTCAACAACCACTCAACGAGGCCCAGCCAAGTTGACACAAACATAACCACCATATAAATTAAAAAAATATATATAAAAGTAGCAACAGAAGGCTCTGGAAACATGGAGAAAGGGGCAGTTAACTGCCTGGGGGAGTCAAAGAAGGCTTTCTAGAAGTGGCATTTGAGGTGGAACTTAAGGATGATGAGGATATGGTGGGTTTAGGAGTGACAGGAAAGTGAGGCTAGAGGTGGGTCACAGTTCTGTTTGAAAGGCCTTGAATGCCAGACCAATGATGCTGAATCTCTCAAGTGTGAACCTTTGGGCAAAAAGCAAACAGCAGCTTCTGCTCTGCACAGAGCCTGACAGGGATCCCCAGGGCCACTGTCCCCACCTCCCCTCCTTCCCCACTTTGCTTCTCCAGCAGTGGGCCAAGAGAAGCCCTGTGTTTCCCTGCCGTAAAGCCCATGCAGAGATCCCACCCTGCTGAAAGGAGCTTCCTGTGAGGGGCAAACTAGAGAGAGATGTAAGCTTCCCTTTGGCCCTGATAACCTGATACCCTTGGGACTCAGCTTGACTTGGGGTGTCTTGCTTGCCAGCAGGAAATCTCTGAGTGGTACAGATGGTTAATGCACTCAGTTGCTAACCAAGAGGTTGGAGGTTGGAGTTCATCTGGAGCTGCCTTGGAAGAAAGGCCTGGTGATGTACTTCAGAAAGATGAGCCATTGCAAACCCTGTTGTTATGTGCCGTCGAGTTGGACCTGACTCATAGCAACCCCTCCTTGGGTTTCCAAGGCAGTATCTCTATGGAAGTAGATTGCCCAACCTTCCTTCCGAGGAGTGGCTGGTGGGTTTGAACCACCAGCCTTCTTGTGAGCAGTCAAGTGCCTTAGGCACTACACTACCAGAGCTCCCATTGCGAACCCTATGGAACACATTTCTACTCTGACACCATGGGGTTGCCATGAGTCAGAAGTGACTCGGTAGCAACTGTTTTTCCTGGGGGTTTTAGCCTTCTTTGACACAACTGCCCAGCTGGCAAGAGGATGTGCTTTGCAGTCAGGCAGACTAGGGTTCAAATGCTAGCACTACTGCTTAGCAGGAGGTTATGATTTCTGAGCCTGCATTTCCTCATCTCTAAGTGGGATAACTGTAACTGTGTACAGAGGACTAAGCAATGCTCAGCGTCAAGTGCCCAGCAGCGTACCTGCCCCATGATCAGTGTCCTGAAACTGAGTCTTGTGAAGACGCCTAGTTATTGTTCCTTATGCTTCAACTTGCAGAGTTTCCGGGTTCACGCAGATGAAGATGACCCTGAAAGAATCCGGCAGATCATTCAAAGAGCCATCGAGGATGCTGACTGGATCATGAGCAAAGTGAGCGCTCGGTTCCCCCATGGCTGTAACCTCCATGGCCACCAGGGGTCACCCTTGTCCCACAGCTGAGGGTCCCTCAGTTTGGGTTGTCTGATGTTTTCTCCTGATGAAATTGTGGTGTGTACATTTTTGGTGCATGCTGAGGAGGCCCCCAAAGCGACACCTTCTCTCATTCTGTAGCCAGAAGGTATGGGGATGCCATTCTCAGTTGCATTTGTTTTCTGCAAAGGTGGAGAGGGCACCCTCAATCCCTAAAGGCAAATTACTGCTCACTGCTACTGAATGCATATTGACGGGGCAGCAGGAAGAAGGATGAGAAAGGTCATCTTGGAAGCAAAAATGCCAAAGCTGGCAGTAGCACTGTGATGCGTGCCAGAGGGGAAATGCTGATCTGGGAGGTGTGAGCTCCCTGTTTGGGGGTATTCGCACTGAGGCAGGGTAACTGAGGAAATGGAAGGATTACCGGAGGAAGGGAATTGAGGCTAGAATAAACCATTTGCTGTCAAGAGGACTCTGATGGCAGCCTCACGTACGTCAGAGTAGAAAGGTGCGCCATAGGATTTTCAATGGCTGATGTTTTGGGAAGTAAATCACCAGGCTTTCCTTCCGAGGCCCTTCAGGGTGGACTCGAACCTCCAACTTTTGGAGAGCAGACAAGCGTGGTAACCATTTGCACC